ATAAACACTGCCTTCAAGGTGGGTCTTCGACACGCAATGCGAATATTTATTTGGCTAGTGAAATACGAACAGGGGAATAAAATTCTGGAGGACTAGTTTGCCCCTACTACTCTGATGGCTTGGGTACTGAAGAAAACCGACTCCATTTTTTGCTTTAGAAAGATGTTTAAGTATCTAAAATATGACTTTAACGCCACTAGATGCAAATTGTTGGAGAGGAATAGAAAAAGCGAGTTATGGTTGCAGGTCAGGAGAGAGTGGAATGGATCCAACACCCGTGTACCCCAGGTGACACCTGCAGGTAATGGCCGCAGTTGAGACTACTCGGGGAACAAGACGACATTACGATAGTCTTCAACCAGAAGAGCTAAGTCACTTGACTCCGGACTACCCAATGTGTTCACCTTAACGTAAGGAGCCTCATCCACGGCCGCTGGAGTGTCTAAGAGGGGAAGGGATGATTCACCAGGAGCTACCCTCACTTAGGTATACACGTACTTGCCTGACCTTTCCTCCCAACGTTGGGGGAGGTGTTCACTAGCTCCAACAGGTAGATTAATTTTACAGTTAAGGAGATGAAGGTTTTTTGTGTTTATGGTTTTGCCACTAAAGGACACGGCTACTTCACCCAGACAGTTTTGGGTTGGTGTGGAGGCCATGTGAGTTCCCGCATAAGTGGCTCTTTAGCCTTTTTTTGCCAGTCACTTGATACATCTTCTGTTTTTTTTAGTTAAATAAGGAAAATAATTTTATTTAAACCGACAATATCTTTAACCAATTCTGCCTTAGTGAGCGGGCGATTCAAAGTTTCACCCACTTTACTTGGAAGTAAGACGGTTGGGCAAGTTTCCTCTTTTCTCCTTCTCTAACAATTTGACCTTCATGCATAAAGCCACTTTATTACTGTCGCCCCTCACTGTCGTCTCTCAACCGTCAAATCCCTCAGGTCAGAGTCAGTAGAAGCTACCGGTTACGCACGACTTAGCTCATTATTACACCTCACCTTAGTCACAGAAGCAACTTTTATTTTAAATTTACACATCTGTGGAATATGTGGGGATTTGTAAATTTCAATCCTGGGGTGATCCTTTCAAACTCTTCAACTGAAGTAGGAATTTGCTTTCTGGGCCGTAAATTCACAGATATGGGGTGTCTTCGCTTCGGCGGTGGAATCCTCCTAGGTAAGTGAAGGAATGGACTGATCAAAGGAGAGATGAATAGATTTCGAAAAGAAGATATCACTATGGATCTATGATGAACGGACAAACAGACAAGTGAATGAACCATAAATGAGTTAGTCGAAGACAATTTGAAGGATTACAAACTTAGGGATGGATTGAGAATAAAATGAGGATATCAGAGAGGAACGATATTAAAGGGGTTCATCAGCTGCCTTTGAAATCATAGCTTTCATAAATCCGTCAAAACATCGAGCGAATTGAGATTCGTGAGGGATACCTTTCTTCTTTCCTCTTACTCACTAGACGGCAGAAGCCTCCTTCAAAGGATCGGCGAAAGTAGCCATATTATTTGCAAGAGATAAAAAATGTGTTAACCAACAACTTTTCTCTCACGCTGCTCCTCATCAAGGAGACCAAAGCAGGGATGAAATAAAGAGGATCTCCGAGAACGACACTGAAATTAGAACCAGAGCTGCTGACCCAATCCAGACTTGCTTCAGCCTCTACACGTTCACATCTTTTCCTCCTCGGATCTTCCACCTCTTCTATTACCCCCACATTGAGGTTATTTATAGATACCGTCACCGAATGCCTATCTTCAGAGATAACTAGGGAACAGTAACACATTGCCCAACCTCCTCCTCACACACGGTCTGCGCTTGTGGTATTTGTAGGTTTGTGGATTTGCTGGATAGCATTTGTTCGCAATTTGTTTCCTACTGGCACCATTAAGCCCCCCGAAGACCGACACTTTACGGGCGCAAGTGGCAATTGCCCTGCTTACTCATCAGCCATGTGGAACGCTGGTAGAGACGGCAGGCTGAAACATGTCCATGATGCCCAACTTCCCTTTATTGCACCTCTGGAGAGTGAAGGAAATAAAGTGAACTTTATTTGTTATTGTCTAATCAAACTTATCCATGTAGGTGAGCTCTTGACGGCTGTGAACTTTATAACCTACTACGTGGCAATTCCCACCTTAAATTCAACTGAAAACCGAGGAAGAGGATGCCGTATTCCCTTGATATCTGTCGTAAACAAGAAATAGGTTGAAAGTGGCTAAAAGTGGTTGACCAGATTTGGCTGAATGCCACTAAACTTTGGTGAAGGCCAAATTCACCCCCCCACATGATCCATCCTTTCGCCAGCCAAATGAAGAGATGCATCCAAGAGGTGGCGGATCTTTCCCTGGCGAAAAAAATGCCATAAATACTGTTTATAAATAAATCTGCTTGTCCTTCTTTATTCCCTCTTTCTTTGCGTATCCTTCGCAGGTGCCTCCGCATTACGTAGTGCGTCTGCGCAAGTGATCCACTTTAAGGGTTCCATCTGTTTCTAAATGAAATCACCTTACTACGCATGATTATAACTAATGCAGCCAGTTTCATAAGAACCTTGTGGAAAATTTATCATTAAAAAGGATTTGAGCTTAAAAGAATTTGCATTATTCTCGCCGTTGAGACATGGCACCATCCATAAAGCATCTATTTTGGCTCACTTCTGGAAAAAAATTGTAAGGTTATTTATCTGTCTACGGAATGCATTTAATCAAGTGATCATTCCAATATAATGTTAGACTCTATATGCGAGAAAGTTAACAAGTAGAGACGAAGACTGCCCAAATCACGTCGTTATTCGATGCCTTCCCATTGGCTACTTGGTAGCACGTGTGTCGACCAATGGGAGGCCAATGATGGAGGGCAGCCTACACACGCGCCAAGAGTCTCGCGCACGCGTTCATTAGCGTGGTGTGTGCACTGCTGTCATCCGACGTCTCTCCTGCTCATCCTCTACCCCCTCGACCTTTTCGTCATTGGCGAATTATGCTTCTATAAGCTCCTGTCGCATTAGCTGCGTTAGAATGATTTCCGACGGTGGGCACTATGTTGACGGCTCGTGGCTCCTGTCAGTTCGCATCGATTCTCTCAATGTGGATCGAGAGATGCGAGTTAAAGGTGACTGGTCCATTGGCCGTGTGCTTGTCGGCCTTATCGAGGGTCTGGCGCATCCGCAGAAGCTAGCCTGTGAAGCCAGCGACATCTCCCTCTCCCCCGGTATAATCAACTCGGGATGGTCCGATTTTGCGCTCTGGTGGCCCTTAAAAAATAGGTGGATTCTACAAACCCATGCCAGCTTGGATCAGTACGGACTGCAAGCGGATGCCCGACTCCACTTCATTCGTGTCCACGGTCGTCTGCGTGTTCAATTACCTGATCTACAGACTCGTGTATTCTGTGATGTAAATTTCACTGAACCCGTTTTTCGTTTGGTTATTCTCATATGTAAACATCTCGGTATTGCACACCCTGAAGAGCTCTCTCTCCAGTACCCAGATTTTGATAGATTTTGCATCCCTGTTCATGGGAAAATGCCCTCTGTTTGGAATGAGCAATGGAGCACTTTGCCTGCGTCGGCCAGGAGATCTTTCAAGAAACTCGCCTTCACTTCGCCATCAAAGACAGATTTACGGCAGAAGAGACCAGCTAGCTGCATCCTCTCTCCTACTGATCAAACCGATAAGCCGGCGCGGAATGTCATTACAAATAATCAGACCATGCTCCGTCGACCGCAGGTGTACGGTCCACCGAGAGTTAGAAATCGTCCGATTAGTGGGAATTCTCCATTGTCACCAACACGACCCGACTCTGTCTATCTGTCACAGTCACTCTGTGGGGCGCCGCTTAGCAAGCTGGAGATTTGTGACGACCCCAGTCTAATTTCGAGTCCACAGATGCCGCTTTCTGAAGCCCTAACCTCTGGTAGCATCCAGCGCCAATGTGGTTTTTTCGCTCGTGCTCGTTTCTCCAACGTTTGGCTTGAACTGGGTCGTTCCCTAATGGAACAGGGGATTTATCCTGCTACGCTTAACCTAGACGACACCTTGGATTCTGCCACAATTAATCCAGAAACCGAGGGGAAAGAAAACGGGGTGAATGGGGTGGAGACGGATACGATTCCTATGCTGAGATTGCGATTTAAGTACAATGCTTTTTATGATTTGACACTCAAGAATAGCGCCGTGAGGATTAACCAATTGTTCGAACAGGCTCGATGGTCAGTCGTCTCGGAGACGATCGAATGCACCAATGAGGAAGCAGCGCTTTTCGCCGCTCTACAGTTGCAGGTAAGAGCTCTACCTTCATCTACTACGTACCAAGACCTTATTTTATTCCCGATGCTTAGAGTAACTTGTTTACTATTTTTTTAACTTACGTGAAAATATCATCTCTAAAATCCTCCGCCGTTCCAATCCCTCACTTACAATAAAGAGATTAAATCAATCCACTTATTATTCCCTCTCTAGTAGAATTAGAATACTTTACCCGTCATGGCACCCCCGATACTCTAGTGCAAATTTGCCATCTTTTAGTCATATTAGGGAAAAATACAAGTTTGGGCGTATTGTCCATGTAGAAGAAAAAAGGTGAGGATACGTATGCATTCAGCCAGCCTATCGTGAGTAAGTGGCAAGGTCAGCGAATCAGTCGCGCGACCTTGAACTGACCAATTGGAGCGCGGCCAGTTAGGCCTACTGTCAAAATACATTCTTTTCGCGTAAAACGAACAGTCCGTAATCTGATTTTGCCTGTTATCATCTATAGCCCATCATGTTGGATGATTGGAATATAAATTAAAGTGGATTTTGCTTCCTATTTTAACATGAGGAGTGATTTCCTGTGTTGAAATTCATACACAAAAGCACAATGCCTTAGGAAAAAAAAACCACTTCTTTTGGTAAGCTCGATCAGTTGCGTTTGAAGCGAACAGATTGCATTCCGTGTAACTAGATTTTTCAGGGATTAAACAGATTTAACGAACAGTTTGACTTCATTTCACATCTCTTACCTAGGAAGCCTTAATTGCACTTCACTTCCACAGCGCATGTTAGCTGCTCTTTATGAGAAGTAAGATTTTTTTTCGAGTGTGATCCACAATGCCTTTGATCCAGACCGTTCCCATTCCACTAAAGAAATTTGAATCACATGATCACATGCGGTATACATTTGACATGACAGTTACCACCCTAATATCGGTCTTAATGCATGTGATGTAATCAGCGTCTTTACGAATCTACGAATTTTTTTCCTTTACCAATTCGTTCCAATTTAAGTGACAAAGGAGAAAAGTCACTAGGGGCGAACCACTGGACAAACGCCATTCCGGTAGATTATGTGACTGGCATGAGAACAGGAGGTCCCACCTTTTCCTTATGGTGTCTGATAGAAGTGATTCGCATCGACTTATCCCAGACAGGGCAGCTGATATTTGCAGATAGCAAAAAGATGGAACGAACGTCTTAAATACCACCAACTAACTAAGCCAAGCCTAGTCATCCAGCCCTTAAGTTATCCAGTTGCTTTGGCTAGTTTGGCTCAAAAAACAGGAAAAAACTGACGTTAACAACAGGTAAATCATCCCGGTGAGACTGGTCATTGCTTCCGTTTTGTCGCGCTGCTAGGCTACCCGATGGCGGCCGATTTTGGCGGAGCGGTAACAGACGATTTGGTGACATTTAAGCTGTGGGCAAAACACACAGTAAGGGAGGCTTCAGGTAAATTTTATTTGAAGCTTCTTTCCACCGTAAGCAAATTCCTTTTATCTGTACTTGGCATCAGGGAAAATCGCAGACATTTTAGAATTCTGCCTCGTTTATTTTCCTTAAAATCTGGATAAGCGGTGCTGAAAGGCGGCTAAGGGGGGTGGGAGAATGGCAGGCGAAGAAGACGGGTTGGTTTTAGCCAGGCAAATTAGCAAACTGAGATGGTAGATGCGCTAATGTAGTTTGGAAGAGTAGTGAATAGGCGATTCACTGTCTTATCTCTCTAACAGAGACCATGGCAGCGCTTTCAAAACGCAGCGACTAACTCAAGCCATTGAGATATTGATGACCTTAGTTTCTATTCCGTAGTTTGGGGTTAGGCAATGTTGGGATCGCGTCATATTGCAGGACCTGTTTTCAAGCACATGCCTTCTAATTGTGGCATTTAACCGGAACGCAGTATCACCGATATCATTCCACAGAGCTAGACACACACACAGGCATCATCGTTGGGAGATGCCGAATTTTTCGACATCGGGTGTTAGGCATGCTCCTGCTGACAGTAAGGCGGCGGATGGAGAGAGTGACAAGCGTCATATTTGGCCCCGAAATTCGTGTCCCTCCCTACTGTCAGATGTCAAGTGAAAGTAATTTTTTTCGTTTCGCCATATTTTATTGAGGTTCAGGATAAATTAAGTCGAAGGTGAATAGATGGGAAATACGGACTGGAGTTTGGAGTTAGCCTCATGAAGCAGAAAGGGTCTTTCAGGCCAATACGGTAAACGTTGTCATAATTCAGGCCTTTGAAACATTCATGGACCCCAAAAGCAGCATGTTAACGCCTACCGAGAGAACTCCTTAAACAGGATCATGGGAGAAACGATAAACCCCTGTAGAATGAATTACCTTAAAAGTACAGCATGCTTAATCGTAAAAGAACCCCTGTTTTGGGAACATTATCTAGCCTAAAAGGAGTCAAATTTAGGCTCTCATTCCCACCTATGCTAGAGCCCCTAAGTACACCTTTAGCTTTAAAAAAAATAAAATACGGAGAAAAGAGGCCCTCTAAGCAGTCGCTGAGATTTTTTACAGTCACCTGAAGCCAAAATGGAGCATAACTTCACTTGCTTTCTAACTCGTGTTAAAGCAACTGCATGATTTTCTTAGTATAGTTACAAGGCACCTGAAAAAGGAACGTCCTGTGGCATCTAATCCGTGATTGGTGGGTGAAGGTCAGTATCCACCAGTCAGTCATTGTGTCAAGAATTGTGACTATTTGCGGAGAGGTATCAAAATACGTGCAAATAACTTCGGTACTGGGTTCCAATTTTTTGTGGTTTAGTGGTGAGTCAGAGGGCGCGTCTTTTCGCTAGCTTGCACAACGGCTGCTACGCAACACGCTTTAGCGTGTTCAAACAGGGCGTGGAGTGATGAGCGGGGCCAAAAGCTTACCATGAAATAGCTACTTAAATGGATTAAGCGACCGCCAGATTCCAACAGTTTATTGGCTCCTAACCCTAACCCTAAGCAGAATAATGTGATTTTCATTTGCAAGAGCATAGAACTAGCAGTACGTCACAATTAGCGCCTCTGTCCCCACATTCCCAGCAGAGATTACGGGGACTTGACAGAACATCGGCAAGCTAATTTGTCTATTTATAGCAACGAAAGAGCGTTAAGGGATGTCTGGCATTATCAAGCCATTCGTGATTAAGAGGCAACAGTCAGCAGGTTACATTTCTCCCCCTTTAATGGTATGCTGTAAATAGGGATTTGTTACAAGAAAACAGGCCATTTGTTACCGTGGTATGAAAGAGGAAAAGAGGCGAGAATTTCATTAAAAAGGATAAAGAGAAAAGCGCTCTTTTCTTCCAATATTTACTTGCCACTGTTTTGCTATTTTCTGCAATTCCTCTTGCAAAATATTTCGACATTTTTGTCACTTGAGTTCTTAGTTCGGGACCAAATAGAGACGATGATGAAACTGGTAGAAAGCTACCTGCTACGTTCCTCCACTAGGATCCACGTAAGGAACCAAGTAGGACTCTGTTAATGACTTTCATTGTAATGTGACTAAAAGCCTGAGGCAGCATGAAACCCGTTGCGGTCAAACCACTGACGGGGCAATCGCACTCGCTAGTCACGAAACATCCCCATTTTATGCAAACAGATATTATTTAAGAAAAAGAGCCCACTTAAGTTCCGCTTTTTGACTCAGAAGTGACCCTAAATATGCATGTTAGTTGCAACACACGGAATCACATTGCTTTTGAACACCGACGGAAAGGCCACTTCCACGTGACCACCGCAATGGGATTTTATTAATTTCACAAAGGAACTATTCAGAGGAATTAGTCAGCAAAGCAACGTTTCCTCTGTCTATAATTCCCTTAAGGGAGCATATTTATTTGGGAATAATTCTCATACAAACTCAAAAGAGTTCAAATGCCTGGGTTTCCATGGCTTCAGGTTGCATCACTTGTGCCTTTCAAATGAGCTTTGACGGTTATTAGTTTTGCTTTGGTGGACTGTTTTTCGGCCGACGGCAAAGTTGCCTTGCCTACCACCGGGCCATCTTCGCCGCTGAAGAGGCGTCTGCATGTTCATGGTATCTTTCATTGGAAGATAATCTACCAAATATCCGAACACTTGAAGATTGCAGTCCATTTCAAGCTTATTTTACTGTCTCCAAGTTTAGTTGTTGATATTTTAGGCACTCGAAGGCATCTCGTGCGAAGTCGTTTTGAATTCATGCCGAAGTTAAAACCAATCACTGTGGTGCTTTCGTCTGACCTTCAAATTTGGCATTGTTTGAAGGCCCTTCTTAAATAAAAAACCCTTCAAAAGAGGCAATATCAACAAACCAAGACCGCGTATCGTGACAGGCGTAAAAAGGACTGCAGTTTCAAGGTAGACCCTCTATGCGAGTCACGAGTCGGTAAAAGCCGTACCGATGTTGGGGGTCAGCAAAATGTCATTGACCACTTAGAATTCATTACTTATTATGGTCTTGATATAAAATGTGAAGAATTTTTTGCTTAAGTGAACGTAGAAAGGAATCCGTTGGTTCTGGTGGAAGTGCACTGTGCATAGTAGTCATAACTTCGGCGCGTGTAAAGGACGTTTGCGCCCCACCCATCCGTGCTAATAACACTAGCAACACCTCTGGCTTATCCATCGTTAAACAGTCCCGTGATTCTGGCCCTCTTACTTTGTGTGCCTTGGGGGTCCGCTTTAGATTCATTTTACCAAGAGAACAAAAGTTAATTATAAGAGTTGTCAAACCAAATCGCATAAGTGGAGTGCATTACAACTGGCAGCTCAGGTACCTAGATTCTATTGCCTCTCCGTCGGTTGATGTTCCTCCTAATTTCCTTCATCTATCAATTTGTGTTTTATTTTGCCCTTTTTTGTCCGAATTCCACTCCACAAAGGAAATGTCACCCTTCCCTATGGCGTTCCATTTCTCATGTCCCTGTCCATTTCCCAGGCCAACCAAGGTCTGGCATTGAGGACCTACGTGTGCACGATCAAGATTTTGTGTAATGGAAGGGCAGGCAGGCGGTAATAACTGAGGCCTATTTGGATCCCAGTGACCTTAAACTAGATCTCACCTCCCACGCTATGAAGGCCATCATTTAGCTGTGGCTTTGTAGACGGTCCCTTTACGTGTTAAGATGTTAAATCTAACTGGGTTGTGGAGTTCCGTGAGCCCACTTTTCCGTACTACCATTTACAAATGCCTCAACTGTTTGATTGTTCTGACATTCATTTCCCAGGAGCATTGTCTTTCCCACTACACTGCATCTTTGAAACGCGATCAAGAAAAGCAAAGTTTGTAGAAAAATGTCATGAGAAAATTTACATGCCATCAAATCAAATTATTGTGAAACCATGTTATAAGGCCTCCACGGGCTGAAAGACGGTACCGTTGAACGTGATTCAGTAGGACAAAACGGAGATTGACACAGGCGGAGAAAATCGGGGCTGGTGGTGACTGACAGTGGCAGGATCTGTTGTTGCCTTGCTGATCTTCCACTGAGAGGATGGTGGCGAGTTGAAGCACTGAGTTTGAGAGTGTGGATAAAATGTAGATGATCAGTTCTACGTCCTCCACAATCTCCTCGTTACCGAGGTCTCAGGATGCTTTTTTGTGCAGATACGCCTTATCAATTGTCTTAATTAATTGTGCCACTTTTTTCTAAAATAGTTTGCTCCCTTTTCAAAAAGGAACATATAGGTGTGTGACAAGGAAATTCAGGCCAAAAAATCAGGACTTTGCCTAGCTCTCATGCTGCTAACGAATGTGTTAAAGGACTTCAAATAAATGGGGACACCACCATACTAGTCTTGCAATCACTCGTCGATTAACAGGACCTGTAAACAGTAAAACATTGCGTCAAAATCTAATTTACGAATGCGCCGGGTGTAACCACCCGAGCGAAACGAACCCCCTTCAGATTAAAGCGGCGATTAACAGACACACCTGCCCATGTCGCCCAGATCAGTCAACCGAAAGAGGTCCTCCTTCCAGCCCTCTTTTTACACAAGTAAATTTTCTGTGGCATGACGTAATTGCCTGTATCAATGGCAAAGGCTCAAATTTTTAAATGGGTACCCGGAACATCTTGAAATAATGAGTACATATGTGCTGGCAAAGGCCTACAAAAATCACTCGATGCTACTGAATAATCTACATTGAAGAAGGTTTTCATTACAACTTTTTGTCCTCTAAGAGTGATGCTAATTTAAATGTATTGGAGAATTGAACAAAAACTTTTTGGATTCTAGAGATTGGGTAAAATGTGCGGGGACTTCCTATAGGAAGGCTTATACCCTTTCTCCTGTCAATTCAGCTTGACTAACGTGATTCGCATGCAAGGTGTTGAGAAATAGTACAACAGCGAAAAGTTTGGATCCACGTAAATACAAAATGGGTTTTTCAGAACCCTTTAACCAATTTATTCAGTCATTTTCCGCAGCTATTCATTAAAATAACCTCCAAGTGGGGCAAAAGTTCGTGCGGTTTTTGGCGTGGCTCCGTGCTGCGGCTTGTAACCTGAGGGCATTCTGAAAACATGTAGTCTCATTTATATATACTATGAGGTTCAGACGGACGTTGTTCCCCCTGTATGGTACGCTTCAGGGCATTTCTTACCTCATATCTGTTTTCTTGATCCCCTGTAAATTAACATGACCGTGCACTTGGGCCCAAAACTGAGGAAGCTCCCCGCATTACATCTGTTAGAGAGGGTGCACTAGCAGGACCTACTGTCCAGAAACCATTTGGATTTAGTGGTGAATCACTTAGAGACGGCTACATCGCATATGAGAGAGAAGGATCTCCATTTATGATGAATTTAATGAAGAATGAGGTTTCGATATCGAGATGATTGCGTAAGGGAATTCCGGTAACGTGAAACGGGGGAGTCGTGGAAGTTACTGTTCAATGATAGATGACAGATCAATCAGTCTATCACTTCTTCCACGCAAGCAATAAAGATGCAGCGTTGTTAGATCTCCGGCTGGCTGACTAACTCGGTTACCCTCAGATCACTCACTATCCTCTTCAAGCTTCAAAGTCAATCGCTACGTCGTCTTCACATAGTAATCCTGTTACTACTGTCCGAAAGTAGGCACGAAAGCTTTTCGCTGAGAAACAGCTAGCAGTAGTGAGTCACGGGCGAATATTTCCCACGCCAGACTTCAAAACTCTGTACGAAACCTACCCGTAAGACGTTTCACACTTTAGTTAGGACGGGAGGAAAGAAGAGGGATGTTGAAACGTCGTGAACCATCCCTCACATTTTGCCAAGTGATTATTTCCACTTTCTTTTGGCATAAGACAATCAATCAATCGCACTGGAACTGCAATAGACAGGTGGAAGATAAAGGTTGAATAGGAATGTTTGCTAGATTTTCCAATTTTTGGGAATTTCTGCTACCAAAGCATCACAAACTAGTTCAGTTACCTGATCTACACAGTCTATTTTATTGAGCCAAGTGCCCTTGATTGTATCACCGTGATTTTTTAAACCTATTTGCATAATTCAGCTCCGTCAAATCAGCAGTTCCTCTGACCCCCAGTCCAGTAGCCGCGAACCCCGATCTTTCTCAATCAGTGGTGAGATAGTGGAAGTGAACGGTCACAGTCGATCTATCTCCCCTCCGCTCTCTCACCCGGTCCGCCGTCCCTCGTCCTCATTCGGCAGCGACGCGTTTATCTCTAGACCCGCTAACCCGTCGGTGCAAGATCTAGATCACGAAATCGATCTACTGTTAGATGACCTCACCACCACCTGCCTTCAACAGGACCGCAGTAATCTAATTCGTGGGGGGCCCAGCAGCACTCATCACTTTCCTCGCCGCTTTTCAACACCCTATCGACCGCGGTGGGAGCGAAACAGCAGGAATGGAGGTGGAGTGGAAGTCTCGCTGCCTGAGTTGGCCGCCTATTTGAAGGTCTGCAAGCCTCGCGCCTTCGGTATCAAGACCTATCGACGCTTCTATGTGGTGCTGAAGAAGACTTCCCTCCTTATATTTAAGGTTAGTGATGTGAAGTCAGTAATCCTCACTTTGCTGCGCCGCTAGGGTTGGAAACAATCCCTAACTCGAGTTTAATCTTTTGGTAAGATTAGTTAGATTTATATTTCGATACTCGTGTCAACCTCGTCAGAGTTAGCTCCCCAGTTTTACATCAAGTTTAGTGCAAATACGAAATTTTAACTAATGGATAGTGTGTTACCAACATTTATGGAAATATTTTTGAAATAAGGTCTTGAATGGTTTTTGTTCTGTATCCCTGACTATTGTCTAAGGTCAGGTCCACTCTTCAGGATTTACTAATAAGGAGGCAAAGCCTTGCAACTTCTGACTTAATCATTCTCTCGTGATTTGGTGCAGTGATTAACTCTATGTTAAACTACTCAAAGGATTCAGTCTCCGCGGATTGTACTCTCGCCCCCAGCCATGGCTTTTGGGTCAGGCTAGTAGCCTCCCAACTTCTCCATACCTTAATAATATATTTGGTCTTTCACAGTACTTTGGTTTGTTACGATCCCAGAAAAGACTTGAGGCTCCTCGTTACTGGTAGTAATGGGACCTGCTTTGCCTTGCAACCTTGAAGGTGGATTCAGAAATTGAGTGTGGCGTGTTCAAGTAATTATTCGAAGTTCATGTATGTTGTGATGGGCGGAAAGTTCGCCTACGTTGGCACTGGTGTAGCATGTTGAGTAGTTTCCTCTCTTGCCTCCGACTTCGATTTCTTCGATTGGCAAGACTGAGTGAGGGAGGCTAATTTGTACCTGAGTGGGATGATAAAAGTTTACGGGTAATCGGTGTTCGGACCCTCCTTGGTGATTGTTGGGGTCTTCTGGCCCTCGGACTCTAGGTAAACTTTCCAATCTGACGAGTTATCATTTGTTACAGATGGTAATTACAAATACACATGGAGTTGTGAAGAGGACGATGGATATTTTGCATGATTTTTTTGTGATACGAGGGCACAACACTCATGTCCCGCTACTAGGGTCTGGTAAACACAGTTTAACCCGGAATGTGATGGCGAAATTCACCGCCTGTAATGGTATCCTCAGCTAAAATGTGTCGAATCGGTATCCTCTAATTAATCTATATAGTGACGGTGGCATGCAAAACGACTTCATTTCGCTTTAAAAATGCAAAATAAGGTACTCAAAAGGATAGAGCTAAATTTACAACCATGTAAATTTAGAAATGCCTTGCTTACAGGCAAGGCAGTGTGACTCCAAGCTTTGCTCTTCGCCCAACTTTCTTCCTCCAGACTTCCCATTTTATTGTGCCATGGTACTTTCCACCAAAAATTTGAGGATCTCCTCTAGTCCACGGCCACAAAGCTGGAAATTATTGATGTTAACTTGTTGGCCACTTTGTTTGCTGCGCAAAGAGCACATCACCTCTGTAAAATAACTTACGAACCTCTAAAGAAAGCCTATTAAAGAGTGTCGAAGAGTGGTAAAATAACAACCAGTTTCTGCTCTCTCTCTGTGGTGGCCTCCGAAACGACTGATTCCACTTCTGATCATCCTTTGTGATGATCTTATAAGTGGATGCTAAATGACTCTTGAGATCATTGGCATGGATGTTGATAGCCCTCTCGACAGCACCTCAAGTATAGAAGGTAACTCTACTCAAATTACCAGCTACAAGGAGTCAAATACCCACAAATTCTTGCTAAATGAGACAAAGTAGCCTTCATTTCAAACTGTCAGAAGTATACAGTCTCGCTGATTCCAAGACTTTTCGAGAAGTGAAGAAGCATGTTAAGACTGCCATTTATCACCATCTTTGAGAACGGCATGATCGTGCATGCATGAGCACAAACACGGTTTTAATGAATCATTTGCACCGCATCTGTGGGAGGTGGCTCGTGAAGTAAGCATCAGCTTTTCTTCTCTGCTTCGTGTTGAAAACTTACACTGACTGACCTCATGGGGGAGAGAATGCGCTACCAATAAAGTAGCTTCAAAACTAAGTTAAGGTACAAATGCCTTTAAAAAGGCTGGATCTAAATTCTCCCCCATCACATTCTCGAACTGATATGGTAATTGGTAACAGACTTGGAAATGTTGTGCACCATTCAACGGGTGATACTTCAGGAGTTTCACCCGTAAGATGACAGCACGCTAAAAAGCAAGTATTTCTATCGTTTGATCCGGTAAAAAAGGAAAACACTTGAGTTGTCAAGAAAGCGATAGTAAAACTTGAGTGGGTGCCATTTAAGGTAGAAATGAAGTGCCCTTCAGAAATGTGATTTCTTGAACCATCCAGGCTCATGGTGAACTTTTCTATCGAGCTTTCGGAGGAAAGTAGTCTCTTGTAACAACTCTTATAAACTGCTGTGGTGCTTTAGATCACTTGAGACAGAAATAAATGACGGGCCCTAACCGGCTATTGTAGTGCCTGAAGCTCCTCTACAAGAGAGTCTGACGGCTTTGAATTGGTGGAGCTGATTGCATTTTGGCTCTGTCCCTGGTAAACCTCGTGCATGAATGCATTTGGCGGAAAATGTGATCCTGTTAAGAATTAATCTCTGTCAAATAATAGCCATCCGAAAATCCTCCTACCGGCGTTCTTCCCGTCTGCCAAATGGTTAGAGGATAGAGGCTTGGGTGCGTATTAATGCTTCTCCCTAATGCAGATATTAACAAGCCGGGTTGTTTGGCTGCCTAGTCTAACAGAAACACTTCAGTAAAGGATCACAATCAGCCGTCGCGTCTGCGTAGTTGACTCTGGGGAGAAAAAAAGAGCTAAACAGGTGCCAAGTGCCTCTATGCCTCAACATATCCTGAATGGAATGTGCATGCAGGTTATTTTTTGAAAGAGAGGGGGGGTGGTCTGTTCCCTAGGTTTAGCCTGGCTGGAAGATATTTAGGAAAACTATTCGGCGTATTTTATCTACGATGGGATGTGTCCTCGGTGCTTTCTTGGGTCTGCATGATATCAGGACAGATTTTGATGCTGATGTTGGTGCCGAGCGTTCCTACCAGACACAATGAATTGCTTTCGCCTTAGATTACCAAAATGAGAAATAGATTGTAGATCTCTGCGTTGGTGTTATTATCGCTAGAATAGACAGAAGAGTTGGCCTTGCATACTCCTTCAAAGACTGTCTTTCGGGTGAGGAATGCACCGGTCAAGTACCGCAGCAGCCCACCAAAGGCCTCTTTAGGGTATCAAACTCATTAGACGCCAAGTTTGGCGTTTTAGGATAAGGTGAAAAGCGTCTTGACATACAAATACTCTAAATTAGAGATGTGGTGCATTGTACAAGCCACTTCCTGTCAGAAATCTCTTCCACGTCTTGATCGCGCCTTCACAACAAAAAACACTTGACCACCCACAATTTCATTCATTTTTCTGTGCAGGCCTGAAGAAAAAATCGGTGTGTGGAACTAGCATTTTTGCAAACAGGAAACATTTGGTGCAATAATGTGTGAATGATGAATTGCATAATAATTGTAGCCATCTGTGCCAAAAGTCGAGGCAAAAAGAATGGCGGAAAAAGAACAAGACCTTTCCTAGCTCCCAGTCCCACCAAAACTCAGGCGGCAGTAGAGGGAAAACCTGTTGGCAAACAGAAAACCCAGGGGAGAAATGTGTATCTGTTACCTTGGGATGGCGACCTAAAAGGCAGAATTTTAGGGAATTCGGATTCCACTTTGCTGCCCCCTCGAGATTACTTCGGTGGCAACGACTTTTCAGCGATTTGGATAACTATTATTTAAAGTGTTGCAGCTTGAATGGGCGCGCTGCTACCATTACAAAGCTTACATTTAAGGTTATTATCCTGTTAAATGAAAAAAAAACTTTGCTTTAAGTTAAAAGTTACGAAACTTGTTAATGCGTGGTTTGGAACCGATCATTCAACCTCCTAGATTCTTTATCCTAGTGATCGTTCATTTCTATGTTCAATAATATACACTGCTTAAATTGCGAGCATACTGGTCGTCCTCGGCATCAGCTTGGATCTCTCAAGTAACAGACGGATTGCCAAAATTAAGATCGTTTGCCAAATGGGCAGTTCTCCCTCCGACCAATTAGCTACCAATCGAGTCTGAGTGCTCATTGGTTGATCGATTAAGCCGAGCTCTCCCGAATTTGCACTTAGCTAGCCTAAAATAAATTTGTCAACTCCTTTACCAACATTATTCGCTAGGTGACAACTCAAGGCACAATTACGAAATGCCAAGGGCATTCCCCCCTGAGTGATAAATCAAGGTCTCCATTGTATGCCTCCTCGCCTTTTGCTCTGCCTTTGTCAATCGGAAGTTAGTTAACTATTCTCCTTTCACCTGGGTACTGTTATCTGATCTCCCAAAACAATTTTATCAGCGGGTGACTGCCGACACTTGGATGTCATGAGAGTGGGTTTCTAAGACTAGTGCCGATTTCTTTCTCAGGTGTAACCTTCCCATTTCCCATTAACCATTTGCGGCGACACGATTCACTAGCGTAATATGCTCAATTTTTCTCTCTCTTGAGTTAGTCGTTATACTCTTGGACCGAGTAGATAATTTGGATGAGGACATGCTTTATTGGGTAGGGATAAGTATAGGAATACGTAGGGTACGCTTCCTCCTCGGACGCCACCGGCGCCCTATCCGCCATGAACTTCGTACTTACAAACCGCCTCCCACCTTAAAATCAGACCCACTACTGAGCCTCTATTCTGCAACGACAAATTAAGGGCAAATTTAATTTCTTGGGGTGTAAAGATACCCTTTCCATGAAGCATGAAGACTCACAGTGTACTCCGCTGGCCTCTCATTGTCCTTTCAGGGTTTATTAAAACATTGAAACAAATTCGATTCTTCCCAGGGTGTAGCAAATCTGCCATTTGAAACGCGATTTGACATATTTCAAGGCGGTGCTATGCCTTCGACGTGTAACTTTTCAGCTCGTTTCCTGAGCGCTGAATCAATAGCATCGGCCCACTTTTCATATCTAGGGCAGCAAAATTTCTACTGCTCATTTTAACCTTCGATGCTTGATAGGATGTTTTCTTCAACTCCTACTCTTCCCCTAAGGCGATGGAAAGGGGCTTGACTTCCACAATTTACCAACCATTGTATAACTAGGGAGTGAGAACTTTACACTCCATCCATCCCTGTAATGTGGAAGATGTAGAACTCGACGCCACTCTATTCACTCTATGTCAAGTTTTCCAAGTTTTATTACCTCTTACTTGATATACAGTGCTCCCTTTCCGCACGTCCAATCGGAAAATCGCTGATTTTTCTCCTCACTACTTGTGATCGTGTTGGTACCTCTCTCGGATGCATATTTTTGGAAAAGTAGAAAAAAAACCTTTTTGACTCTTGTAACCCTATTTTAAAAATAGAATTCAGCCTTTTGGCTTATGAGGGAATTTCTCTAAATAGGTATTTCAAAGAGTTCTCAAAACCAAGGTACTTATGCACAGCTAGAAAATGAAAGATAAAGTGAACTTACGTTCCTACTATTATGTGCCATTTGTCCAAAAATTTGAAGAAATTATCCCAAATTGTCAAATACTTGAAAGTTTGTTGAGATTTGTCATTGATTTTCGTATATTTAAAAAACAAATGGCAGACTCAAGAGGACTGTCAAAACTCTCAACTTCCTGTGGATTCAGTGTGCCTCCTGGGCTGCGAGTCGTGGCCCGATCTCAGTCCCACCTCAGATCGCTATGCACTGCGAATCTTCACTCCCCTACTGAAACAAGCTCTTCCACTCTCCAGCGCACTGCGAGCTGACAGCGGCGTAGTAGATGGCGGAGGCATGGGAGACAGTGATTCGGTGTCCCTGACTACGCGACTGAAGCGCCGCGCTTCACTCCTCTCCCTCACTTCTCTCGGTGGTCTTAATGCAGTGTGTGGACGTGCGGTGTCGCGTGCCAGTGGACTTCTCAATGAACTCATTCTCCGCTTGCCCGACGAGGCGCACTACATAGAGTGGGCTGCAGCTGTCCGCCTTGCTGGCAGTCTATCACTCGGTTGCTCCGGCGCCGCCACACCCGAGACGGTGCGCCGACTCTTTGAGGCAGAGAAGCGTGCCACCACGAGTCTGCTACAATTACTAACCCCACTGCCAATGAAGATAACCTCACTGAGGACGGATAGTAAAAATCCTGTTGGGGCAGCGGAAAGACTCTGGCTACTACAAAATATCTCGATCATTCTTCCATACCGACTAGCTGGAGAGCAGGCCGGAGGAGGAGGCACGACGCAGTCCAAGGCGTCAGAACCGATTGTGCCTACTACCGGCGCTCTATCGCCGGCTAAAGAAGAGGTTGGCAATAAGCGCTTTTCATGTTTTTGAGATGTCTCTACCTATTTGGAAATATGGAGAAATAGTAATCTTTAAAGTGGAGGATCATAACTCGTGATTTCGTAAACATGTGTGCCACAGAAGAGGCTAGGTCTGTAATTGCTTGAGTATCCTTGACGATGTTAACGCAAGCAATTAGCGCATACTAAAGACAACTTGTTCACCGACGCATAAAACTCCTCGGAAGTCGGTAATTCATCTGCTGCGTCATTTGGCCATCATTAAGGCGGACCTGCCTTCTGCCAAGGCCAGCTCCCTTACCGGCCTTAAAAGCACTCATTTAAGTGCGGAGATGCATAAGTAGCTGGCACGAAAATGTGGTAAATTACAATTACAACTTGCAGGTTACCATGGCGGTAAGTGGGGGGGGGGGGAGGGAAGGAAAGTAAGAAGAATTTATGCTTTGCCTGAAAAACACGAGTTGGTGGTTTTTACGTGTATGTTGAGTGGTAGCCACTAATTAACGCATCTTTATGCACACAAACATCTTTGAAACATGTAATAAAAGGGACTACTCTCTCTGCTTCGCTACAAAAAACAAACCTAAACAACACATGTTAGCATCGATGAGGGATAACATTGGAATCCACCTTTTGGTGGAACTAGTTCAAAAACGGGTCTGGGTTTTGCGATATTCTTTTGACAACCTGGCGTGAATGCAAATTAATGATCACAAAGATATTATGCAAAGTCAAGACTGAGAGACAATTAGCAAATCATCTCAGCTTTAAAATGTGGTAGATTTTTTGCTCCAAAGCCAAGTAAAGGCCTTTCCTTTCGGCAAATCATTGTATTAGTACGTTCATTTAGCGGGGGAGACTTCGCAACGCCCAGCACTCGGTGATTTAGAGAAGTAGTAGGAACACCTCCTAAAATCCACTGTTTATTCTGCGGCTGAACTAGCTGATTTATCACTCGAAAAGAGTTAGTCTTGAGGTGACACCTCCAAGGACTTTACAGCAACCCTACATTTGTCCCATCACAAATGATCCATATGATGCTTCAGATACGCCATTCGGCCAGCCACTTTTATTCAAGATAGATGTTAAACACTGCGTTTTATCTTGAGATGTCTTGTTGATCAGGTGATGATATCTGGCAGAAGTTTGGCCATTTTATCTCTTGATATCTTTTCCTTAACTACTATTCGTCTTTATAAGTAGTATCGGCCTAAATCTAAATGTATTTGATCTATACTTTTCACGATAACAAGTTATTTAGCTGCTGACCAAATTCTAGTCATTCAAATTTAAATTGATAAGCTCTGAAAAGGATGCTAAACTTTTTTGCTGAAACCTCTAACTTCGAAGGATAATTGCGGTAAACTAGGCCACGGTTCGCTCTGCTAAGATGAGTTATGAATCCCTAAAAGTTCAGTCACATCTTAAACCGGACAACTTGTTACATTATTTTTGGTTTTATTCTTATTTACAACTAATATTTAATTCATAGCTTTTAATGCTCCTGGAGTTATAAACTTTTATCTTGACCTGTTTCGCAAGACTATTTTTGAGGTTTCATTCCCGAACTTCAGCTCTCTGAGATAAATACACTGCCTTCACTATCATTCACGTTATAAAAATTGTGTACTTTATGGAATGCTTCAATACTCATTGAGTGGCCTACATCAAAGGGAGCAGAATCGGGGCGTCACAGACTTGTGACGGTGATGGTATACTCTAACTCCGAGTCAACAATGGATGCGGCCTCCACTTTTGAAGTAGTGTTTGATAGCAAAGAAGTTATCGAATTGCTCACTTTGTCCAATTGGATTTATGCCCTGATACTTTGAGAAAAACTTGGTTGTCTACCTGATGATTTAAAATGAAATTGGGAGTGTTAAAAATGCAGTGGAATGTTCATTTGTCCTGGAAAGTTTGAATTGGCTTCCAGTCCTAGTCGAAAAACCTTACTAACGCGGACTATCAATCCATCGTCTTGATTATGTACCATAGGAGTCGAAAATAGTGTCTTCTTTGCCATCTTCATTTCATTGCGAAGCTACTTCCATCTACTTTCTTCAATTGTGAAGTCGAAGGGTCAGGCAGAGTGTTTGATTTGCAAGCAGTTTTTTATTGACTGGAAGATTGTTTGTCCTAGAACTTTAAAATGCCATACCTCCTGTCTGGAACGGATGCAAATATTTTTCAGCCTCGCGTCACAAATAAGCATACCGCTTTCAGTCAAGTCCGATTTTCAGAGCTATATCTGTAAGATATGGGAAAAAGGTTTGTTCGTGAAATCTTCCCTTGATCTGGCTTAATCTCCTTAGTTTCTTGTTCTACATCGTCCCACCTGAAATTGACGCAAGTGATTACTCGGAGGACCAAAACACGAAATGGATGATTGTGTGATGTTGGCGTTGGGTATCGTAGCCTAAGCCTCCTCCGCCTCCTCAACCACTACCTATTATTTTTACTGCTGCAGAATTTTACTGCTTTGTCTAGACAGCCAGCCCCTCTCGCTCTCTCTTTTTCTCTCTTTGGCTTCGCACCTCCCCTGACCACGTGGAGGGTGTGTAAAACAGCGCGTAGATCAGCCTTCAAATACCTGGCCAGACAGGCCCCCACCCGCAACAAGGGTCTAAACAGTTGTGCTTGTGTGTGTGCGTGTGATGCGTCGATGGACCGATCGGGAACAAATGTTCTACTTAACGAGGCACTTTTAAACTCTTGGGCAGGCTAAATACCACTTTTATCGTTTTAATGTAATCTTGTCTTTTTACGTAGGAGCCTTGTAAGACAAAATTGCAGTTAGATTTAGATAGATGTGAATGTTGTCGACGAAATTCAGTTTACTTCCTTGCTGATGGAATCGTCTTAGAGAAATGCCATGAGTAAAAGTCCAAAAGGACTCTCTTCCTACTTTGTTCGCACTGCAGTACACCAAATCCCTGAAAGTGTATTTTGGCGTTGAATACGCTGGCCCGTGATCCATTTCCGTCCTACTTCGAGCATTCAGCCTGCGAGGAAAGAAGCGTGGTGACATATTATGTGGCATTTTTGTGACAATATAGTCATTTGTGTTTGTGTTTGACTCGTTGGGAGCCTCTCCCTTGACATCTCAGTTAGCTTACTGTAAAAACAAAATTCCGATTATTTGTGACCAATGCACTGCTGCCAAGCCTTCAAATAGTAATAAATTGGGTTCAGTACAGTTTATTTCAATGAGAAAATTAACATGGCAATTAACAAGAATGACACACCGCTACTGAATTAAATAAGTAGGTAGTTATCTGCCCTGCCAACCTGATATCACAGTAAGGAAGGTGGAGGCTTACGAATAGTTTTAAAGCAAATTTTGGGAATGATTTTCATCTTACGCACACTCCTTCAGCACACTGATAAAGTTACCTCAAGTTAAATCTAGTTATTAAGTCCGTTAATAGCAAGAGGGCTATATTTTACGGTTACCATTATTTCGCTCGTAGATTATTGATAATTCCAGAATCTTTCAGTGTTAATCTGTCTCAGCACACCAATATTGTTATCCCAATAAAGTAAAACGTGAAACGTCTGTTTATTCTTCACGTACATTGGTTATTAGGCGAACGAGAGACTGGTGCGTCACATAATGGACATCCGTGGGCGTCTGACGGAGATGTCAGCGATGGAGGTGAAGTTGCAGTACATTGGACACTGGCAACAACTCACAGGCAATGGGGTGATTTACTTCGTGGCACGATTTGAAACCAGTGTACCAGTTGCGACAGCATTGGGACTGCCTGCTGACACTCCCGATCAGGCCTACCGCACCCTCTCATTCCATAGCTCCCACATCCATCCCACCTCCCGCCAAGTAACTATCTCTTTTAGCCGTCGCGATGAGGTGGTCGGTATTGGGAACGGGCGCGTTGCCAGGCATGATCCCACCACTGGTAAGTGGTAGTGGCAATGTTATTTCCCTCCACTGAGTCAGCAGTTCTAAATTATAGAACCGTGATGCTCTTCTAGGTGAAATTCACGCAGCATGGCGGTTGGAAGTGATTCAAGGCTGGAACGTTAACCGAGAGTTGAACGAGCTTGTCCTTATGCTTGCTCCAACCGCAACCTCTCCTTCCACCACCACCATCACCACAACTATTAACACCACAAAGTCGCACCTCATTCCCACTTCCTTTCCCTCCACCGGTGGTCGGGTGGTGATTCGGCCCATCGGCGTTCCAGTGCAGAAAGTGAGTGAAGTTTTGGGAGCAAACGTATTCCTTAGCCTTCGTTCACCCACTAAGAGTCAGGAGTTGGACGAAGCTCTCTTTTACCGTCTTATCGGTGCCAGTCCTATGAAAAGTCTCTACGCCAATATAACCCCTGCCTCCACTGCCGCTGCCACGACTTTAGCTAGATGAGTCAGCACTTATCACAGAACGCCCTGCCCTCATCTTTTCGTCCCTTTCCTTACCCTTTTCTCCCTTTGTGTTCGTGCATTTCTGAGCTCTGTTTCTTTGCCATTTATCTCCCACTCCCTTCGCAGCATGCGTCGGCATTACCTTGACAGTATAACTTATACCGGACCTCTTCTTCCTCTATGTTGCGCTACCTGTTTGACGCCTGTTTTTCAGCAGCAACTTAAGCAAAGGCCTACTGATGCTACTGCCATGTCTCGCACTGTGCTCCTCTTTTTGTATTGCCGCTCATTGCGTTCTCTAAAGTGCTTATTCCCCCAGCTCTTGAACATTTCGAAGAGTTTCTTACATTGTTCGCTCTCTCTTCCTTTCTCGTCCTCCCTTACTTCTTCTAGTTTTTGTGTACAGACACTCACCTCCTATCCCTATTACCCAACTCGCTTGTTTTGATTTTCGGTTTGGACTAGTTCGAACTGATTTGTTTCTTTTCTCCCCTTATCTTCTATCAGAGTATATTTACTTTGTTTTGAGTATTCCTTTAGTGATTTTGACGCAATTGTGTGTAGTTTGAGGACAGCTTCTCACAAATCACATGTACCTCTGGTATGAGGCAAACACATCAGACGTCTACGCTAAACCCAGATTTTGTATTTGAGGAGTGGAAAATGGGTCTTGTTGCTCTTTCTAACAGCCAGTGCACAATTTTAGCCCAGTCTTGCCCTTGAACAGTTAATCACGATGGCAGAATGGAATAACACGTTGTATTGAAGTACCTCGTCAACGGAGATGTTGAACTTGAACTCACGTATTTCTAGCAACTCAACTAGAATTTCGAAATGTGCATACTTTTCAGAGCCGACTAGTCGTACACCGGTCATTGACAATTCCAACTGCGGATGATCCCACTGCACATCATTACAGTCATTCGTACGTATGAACACCCAGCAGAGTAAGAAACGATTGATTGTTGATTCCTAAAAATTCTAATCTTCTTGGGGAACTAGTGAGTAAAGTAGCGCACATTAGACACCAAGACTGTCACCAGTATGGGTTTGTGCTGAACTACTTAAGTACTTCAGCAACTTGACTGGAAGACATTACCACATTCCTCTTGCACCCAAAATATTCCTTCATTCAAGTTCAATCCGCTTAGATCCTGAATCTGCAGCTCAAAGGTGGCCACTTTAGCCCCAATGGGTAAAGCAAAGCAGCCTGACCAAACAAAGTAGAATTAAAGAAGATTTGTTTCACGTCGTCACCCGGCACAATGGTTCCATCTCGGCCGCGCCGAAGTAGGAAGGACAAGTGCTCGGGATACCTGTAATCACAAAAAGTTCCATTGAACTTTCTAAAAGTTGCATTTTCGTGGCTCCTTCTGAATAGTCCCCCCTGATTAGCTGAGTTCTCATTGGATGTACTTTAAGAGAGTTATTAATTGCTCTAGGTCCAACGCCAGTGACCAAGACGACCGGAAACTCAGACTCCGTCTCTGAAAATTTTCAGTAGCTAGCTCTCAGATTCATACACGCACGTCGTACCTTTGTGCTTACGCATATACACGTTTGTCGATCAAGACTATCCGCTCTGATATCCGTTTGGGAGCTCGACTAGATCCAGGCCTTAAGTACATAAAAATCCCAGTCTGTAAAATGCGGTGATCCAGTTTATGACAGTTGGAAATGCAGTGTTCTTAAAAGAACTCATGAAGGTCTTTTTTTAGCGATGAAGTGACTGAAGTTACGAAACTTCAGCAGGCACGATTTGAGAAACTGCTGAAGTAAATTAAGGTCCAGACTACACCACCGTCGGTTTAAAAGTGCCAATCCGATGACTTTGCCATAAACGGTGACACGCAGTTGCTTTACATTTCATATTTCGGTTCCATATTCGAATCTTGGTTCAGTACGGATGAGGATGTATTCCACTCTGAGTTCGCTGGAACTAATGATGAGTAAAAAGTCCGTCAATTACTTCAGAAACTTGTTATTGTAAACAATCCTCATAAGGCTTAAGTTTCCAAGGGAAAAACTTTGAAGATACCGTATCATTACTAAGGGACAATTTTGGTGAGCAGCTTTGCTGTTCAATCCCCTTTACAACTGCCTGAAGCTGAAAAAGCGGAATGATTATGAGGTGACTACTTGACTTATGCAGGAAGATTGGACCCTCAGCATAAACGTTTTAAAATGAAGAAACTGATTGACAATCAGTTCAAATGCCACATCTCCATTACAGTTTGCACTCATCCACCGATTCAGACATCCACACACGTCCACTAAGCATGATCAAGGAGAATTCGACTACGAGACAAACAGCCCTAATCGAACGCCAATGCTTGCTCAATCTCAAACATGACGCCGCTTTAGTTGGGTCTGGAGTCAAAGGCATTTCTAGGTCTATGTTTTTCGTCATTTTAAGCATCTGAACTAACAGAGAGCCAGTTCAGCACTTTGTCAAGCATCACAAACACTACAAGTGTCACCAGTACAACGTAAAGTTGGGCACTGTCGATCCAGCCCATCCGAGTTATGTAGAGACACAAACAACCACAAAGAACTTGGTCAAAACAAATTCAAAAGAAGCCTACAAACCAAAGAGCTTGATGAGGATTTCCGAAGTGAATGCATATTGTTGCCAAAGGTTCATCACAATCTGCCATAATGGCTGTCCCAAGTGACCAAAGTTGGACACCTTCTGCGACATCACAAACATTATCGAAGCAACCATGCCAACGGTCTGGGAAAATGTGCGTCCAACAGACCCCTCGAACAGCCACCAGTATAGATGGTGACGACCTAAAGTTCTCTGGACAGCTTAGGCGCCCTGCATCCATCCAAGGCACATCATTCTTTAGAGTGTGCGGCGCCACGAATGCCAGCATCAATCTACTTAGCCTTGACCGGTTCAACAAACTGAATCAGAAGGAACGACTGGCTAAAGATATCTGCAATGCGCTGCATATCACTACCATATCCTCATTGCGGTCGGCGACAATTGTCGAAACGTTTGCAGCAGCCTCCCACTTTGTCCCTTCAGTATGAACTCGCCTAACGATCGCTGCTAAAGTTCAATAGGCTGCGAAGTATCCTTCAAAGTCGCCAGTAGTACCTCCAACCCAGCTAGAGAAGCCCTGGTTTGAACACTACTTGGACTCCGTAGATCTAATTAATGGCTTTTTATAATCCATTCTGATGGATGGCTTTACAAAGTAGCCGGGGGTAGCACCCGCCTTGTGCCGCCATGACCCAATCGACAGGAGTTCATAGACAACAAAACAGCTAAAATCGTAGGAGTTCCATGACTGTTGCCGTTAACGTGTCATGAAGCATATCCACTCTTCCATTTCATTCTCACTCCACTGGTCAATTGGAGACACCTTGATGAATTCAAGCGAGTATTACTGACAATACGAGGGAGGAAACGGTCGCTGATACCACAAAAAGGTTTTTATTGGCATACTGGACAATACCACAGAAGCAGCGGTAGTAAAGCGAATTCCAGTGATGGTAGTTCAACAGAGACGTAAAATGGTGGAAACTACCTCCCTATTTTGACGAAGAGGTAAGTAAGGTGAGCATTGGCTTCACCAGACCGTCTTGGTTATTGGTTTCTGCTACATCTCTGCCACTATAAACGGACCACAAATGCCCCCGCTGCTCTGTTCGTGCGTTCGCATAGCAGCGTCCTTGCCAAGAAGGCCTTGTTGAAGACACCGCTGTTACCGGTACCACCTTATTTCAAAGAGGTCTTATCCTTGGCTAATGCGTATCGGCATCAAAGGCAGTCATCGACCATAAAAAATGCTACCATTTCGTGCATCCGAAAATAGACTTTTCCTTCATCATTTATGGTTTGATTTGCCCCACTCATCTTTGTTTCAGTGTACAAAACATGCATCGTAGTTCCGATTTACAAGAGTTTAGCGCCTTGCTGATTCCACGATACCTAGCAGGCGAAGCGTGATAAGAGAGGCTCAGTCGAGAAATCACGAGGACCAAGGAAAATGACATGTGAAATGTCTGTCTTGGAAAACGAGGCGAAGATGCTGAAGTCAGATGAGCATGAGATATACTGCAAAACAGACTGTGCCATCAAAATCACAATCGTCATTGAAGTGGACTGACCAAACGACAGCTGAGATGACACTGAAAATGTTGCTTAATAAGCTCAACACATGCGAAGACTGTCAAGTGGATTATTGTGCTACTTTGAAGGGAACAAAATCCGGTCTTTTCACGTAATGGCATGTTCAGCACCTATAACAAAGCATAAATTGTAAGCTAATCATGTAATTAAATCCTCAACCTCAAAACGTTACCTTCCAACCCATAAAACAGATTATTTCTTATATTTTTCCTTTTTTAAACTCAGCTTCCTCCACTTGCTTGCTGGTAGATTGCGAGAGGAAAGCTCACAGCAGCCGACAACAGAGTGAATCACGATTTATCGATCCATCGGTTCATTGATTTATCAGAATTTGATTTACCACCAGACATTTGAATGCGCAGGCGCTTGCGTTTAATTAACAACTGCGGTGGTTCACGACCTGAGAGACGACTCCTGAGCGGAGCGCAGGAAGCTTCATCATTTAGCACAGGCATCTTGACGCTTCAGCAGAGAGGCTGCACTAAAGTCCAATTTCACCAAGGCAACATGTCATACGAGCGACCCTTCTTCATCGACCTAATAATGGCGAATCCATTGCCAAAATCGTCAAGTAAAGAAGGTAGATTTGCCACTTACTTTGGGAAGTATTACTTTAAAACAAACCTACAATTCCTCATAAATGAAAGGACTACGTATACGCGATGAATTTGTCTCATAAAAGGGACAAGAAGAATTTTCAGAGTTAATTTAAGTTTAATAAAGTGTTGTGCCTTTTTAGATGGAAAGGAAAATCTATGTCACTACAAAGAACAAAATACAGCCAGCTCAAGAAAAGGTGATTATTTTTCACAATAACAAATCACTGTCTAATGATTAAATTGATTAGCATAGAAATATTTGAGGAGCTTTCATAATCCCTTATAAGGTTTCATTACTGCAGTTTTCTAAGTTGTATTATTTAATTTTGCAGAGGAATGTTGCCCATGTAATGAGACGGATCAGCTAAAAATGGGCCAAAAGAAAGGTAATTAAGTCTTCAATAGGGGAGTCTTACACACTTATGGTAAATTATGTCAAAACCAAATTTCAAAAATGACGTAACAGAAGTAGTTCAATTGACAAGATTTAATAAATCACGTATATCTGAGCAGCTGAGAGTTTCCTGCAAATCTTTTGCTTGAGACAAATGCCTTCGAGATCCAGATTCATTGCATTAAGGCGGTAGTCCCAAACGAGGTAGTATTTTCTACCGTAGCCGTTGCATGCTTTATCAAATGCAACCATCTAAAAATAGGCTTTTCATTTTCATAGGAGAATGTCATCCACTTCAAAGCTCAGGACAAAAGGACTGTTTTTCTAAGAGAGGTAATCTATCCTACGACAATTTTTACTGATCATGTCAAATATGACGGTCAAGAATGAGTTTTTTGCTTTCGCAATTAAATGCCCCCCACCAAAAAATTCGGGAAAAAATGACTGTAGTCTCAGGAAAGGCAATCCATCGCTCCAAAAGTGTTACTAACCCTGATAAATGTGACCGTCTAAAATGCTTTTTTCGCTTTCACAGAAGAATGTCCTCCAGCTTCGAGCCCAACACAGCAGTTCCGTGCTCCCAAAAGAGGTAATACATTTCATTGTAATTGCTACTGACCACGTCGAATGTGACCGCCTGCAAAATGGCATCTTAATTTTACAGGAGAAAGTCCTCCACCTCTAAGCTCTGGACAAAAGGACTTCGGTCACAAAAAAGGTAATAAGATCCACCTTAACCGCTACCTATCCTTTTAAATATGATCTTCTTGAAAGTTTCTTGCTTTTACAGGAGAATGTCCTCCACCTCAAAGCTCAGAACAAAGGGACTTCAGTCTCAAAAGAGGTAATAAGGCCCACTTAAACTTCTGCTGATCCTTTTCAACATGACCGTCTGGAATGCGCTTCTTACCTTTACAGAAGAATGCGCTCCAGCTCCAAACGCTATTCAACCGGCCTATGGTCCCAAACAAGGTAAAAATTTTGAAAGTAACAGCCGCAAACACTTTTAAATGTGATCTTTTAAAAAGTGTTTCGTACTTTTAATGGAGAACGCACTCCACCTCAAAATGCATTTCAGCAGGATTGTGGTCCCAATAGAAGTGACCTGTTTCATCGTAATTTTTACTAACTCTATCAAATGTGTTTGCTTAGAATATACCTTTCACTTTTGCAGGACAATCCTCTCCACCTCAAAACAGATTACAAAAGACTTGTAACCTCAAAAAACGAGGTAAAAATTTTTAAATAACTGCTGCTGCCATTTTAGAACATGATCTTATGTAAAGTGCTTCTCATTTGCAGCAGAGTGTCCTCCTCCTCAGAAAGCGTTTCAAAAGGCCTGTAGTCCCAAACAAGGTAACTTTTCAACCGTAACTGTTGCCGATAATCTCGAATGCGATCTTCGTGAATGCACTTCTTACATTTTCAGGAGAATGCCCTCCACCTCAAAGCCCATTACAACAGGCCCTTGGCCCCAAGCAAGGTAAAAATTTTCGTTTTTATCACTGCTGACACTTAAAAGTAATCTTCCTAGGAAGTGCTCCTTACATTTACAGGAGAATGCTCTCCACCTCAAAACACATTTTAACAGGCTGGTAGTCCCAACAGAGGTGACCTGTTTCACTGTGATTCTTACTGTCCCTATCAAATGAGATTGGTCCAAATATGCCTTCCACTTTT